AAACTGAAGGAGTTAGAAGGTAAGCTTCTGGATACTACAAAGAAATTGTCTGATTTCAAGACAGAACTTGAAACTGAATTAAAAATGAGAACTGAACTCAAAGAGAAGTATGATTTAGTTGGTGATGAACGAGACCAACTTTTAAAGAAAATTAAAGACTTTTTCTTGTGCTCAAAGCTCAACTAGTTCTCCTTCAGAGTGTAAAACAAGCTTTTATGATTGTTTTAAATCTAACAGTTATTCGAGCAACCCTAAATCAATTGTTTCTAAGAACTATTCTCGTTATTCAAGTCAGTACTATCAAGGGTATGTCATCGGATCATCCAATTATTCTTCTAAAGTTAAAAGTGTTTGGGTAAATAAATCTGAATCTGTTTCGTCTTGTAACTCTGTTGTTACTAACAATACTCTTCCTTGTTTTATGAGATCTACTAATGATTTGATAAATCTTAGCAAGAGAAGGATCATGTGCTCCACATGCAAGACAACTGATTTTGTGAATAGGAAACGGTGCAACAGGTGGACTGAAGACAACAGATATCAGAAGAGCTGGAAGAATAATAACAGGTATGATAATAATAACTGGTATGGATCTTATTGCGTATATGATCATCCTGTTAAAAGTGGGAAAAAGAAAACATCTAACAAGAATAGATGGTTTGGAAGTTATAATATCCCACAACCTGATACTAACAAAGAAGGACCCAAGTTCGTTTGGGTACCAAAATCCGTTTGATCTGATTTTGCAGGTGTGTCATTCCAATGTTGATCATAATTTTATGCTTATGATGCACTAATCTAGGGGGAGTTGTATACTGTCCAAATGAGACTTCTAAACATTCAGTTTAGGATTCGTGCTTTAATGCTTATGGCTTCTGAACACAACAATTCAGAACCCGTGCTAAAAATGTTTCCATTTTTTTTATTTTGAGCTGAACTGAAACATTACTCAAATCTATTTTCTAGGGGGGAGTCTCTAGAAAATTTTAATAAAAGTTTTAGAAAGTGAACTGTTTGTTTTATGAAAACGAGTACATTTTCTGAACAGTTATTTCCTAAGATTTTACTTGTGTAATTTCTCATCGTACATAACTCCAATACCTGTTTCAGCTATTCTTCAAAATGTTATTATCACGTCTCTTAAAATGAAAATCATTTTCGGTGATAATACACTAGTTTGTAATCAAAGGTTGTTTTTCTGATTCTTTTTTACCTTGATTGATACACATTCGTTAATTCTTTGAATAATCAGAATTTGTGAACTCGTACTTGCAGATCTTCATTCATTTCTCTCACATACTGAATAATGTGATTGTGTGTATCATTCCTTGTTTCATTGTGCTTAAAAGTCACATCTTGATCAAATTTTATCTGATCACTGTGCTTTATTGTAATAACATCTTGATCAACTGTTGTGATCATTTGAACATACTGTTAGGAGGGACTAAGTGCTTCACAGAAATACCTCTATGGAATGTCAGAACCGACAGACCTACCCAAGAGGACAACAATATCTAAGTAAGCTTAAACTCAAAAAGGGTTTGTGTGCAGAGCTTAAAAAGAAAAAGAGAGGGGTAGTTGTTGTGAGCCAAAAGAATTGATGAAAGTTGTGTCAGGATCAAAAGAATAAACATAATCCTGTTCTAAACTTCAAAAAACCGGGCACACCACATAATCTATTAGTTCTCGATTCTTTGGAGACTAATATTGAAAAAGGCAAAGCCCAAGCCAATTCTTGTCACAACCCCACCAGCTACTCATTTATCTGTTAAAAGATAAGTGTTTCAATAACACTTGGGGCACGCAGCTCACAATCTATCAATTTCTCATTCAGAGAAAGTTGATATTGAAACAGAAGAATATATGTCCCCCCCCCCCTTCAAGTCTCTTTGATCACGAATTGAGTAAGATAAATTTGTGTAGTCCACACTGTTTATCTTTTTGATTCTAAACAGAAGCATTAGTTGCTTTATTTTTCTATACTACATAGATTTTGCAAATTATATGTTATTTTGCCGAAACATTCATAGATATACTTTTATAAGATATCGATGATTGAATAGAAGACCTGGTGAGATGAACCTCATAAAGTCTCATATATGAAGTACATCTGTTGTACTAAATATATCTGTTATATTCACAGGCCAATCTTTTATAAGATTGAAAACAATTTTATAAGTTGAAATCGGTTGTTATTTTCCCATTCTCTTAATATGTAAAAATTATAGTGGATTTGAAAAGATCTGCTTACATTTTTATGAATTGACGGCTTTCGCTGAAAATTTCATTCATTCTGAAGTGTGATGCTAATGATTCTCATTTCATCATAAGGGGAAGTATGAAATAATGAATGAAATGTTCAATTCTGGATGATATAAGGGGAGCATGATATAAAGATCAAGGGGAGTAACATCAAAGGCTGGCAAAAGACTCAAAGGAGTTTGATTGAAGATTATTACTAAAGATTATTTTTGTGCTACATTGTTAGAGAGTTTTTTTTTAAGTGAAGATCATCCTTACAAAAGTTAACTGATAGAGATTTCTTATCAAAAAGAATGTTTAATTTTGAGGAAGAATGTTTGTGAATTTTATCTGAAGAAATTCATTTTTGGGGAGAATGTTAGAATCTGTTATCTGAAGAAATTCTTTGAAGATCATATCTTGAAGATCATTTCTAAAGATCGTTGATGATATTGTTCTACATTGTCAAAAGAGAATATCGTTTTTGTTCTACATTCGAGGGGGAGAATGTTAGAAGATTTTCTCAACAGAAGATCATCTGAAGATCTTAAAGCAAAGTTTGTTAGAAGTTTTTCAAGAAGTCATTAAGAGCTTAAAGTGACAAAGTTCAAACGAGATTCAAAGAGCGCAAATTCTTTCAAGCCTGAATACAAAAGGAGAGAATGTTGGGTCTAAATTTCAGTGTTAAATTGTATTCGTCTTGAAAGTTAATATTTGTCTATAATTGTATAGATATCGTGTTTGACTTTGTAATTAAGTTTGACTTTGACTTAAAGGGTTTTAGTTTGACCCTATATATAGTTTTGTCTTTAGTGAATTTGAAAGGAGAGCTTCAATTGTAAATCGTACGTTCATATTGAGAGTTATAAGAGCTTTGACTGTTTGACTTTTCCTCTCAAGCCTCCTTACATGTTCTTGATGATATTATGATTCTGCCATTGACTCATAGAGATTTATTTGAAGATTGATCATATTGTGAACTCACAGTAAGCAACTACATTTGATTATTTAAAACCATTTATAACATTTGTTTGGAATCAACGGGAAGACTCGTGTCCTCTTAGCAAGTTTCACCTCAAGAGATATTTGACGTAAGTGTCTACCCTCGTAGGTAACACCTCAAGGCTCGACAAACTTAGTGTCTATCTCTAAGGTAAACCTCAAGCGGCGTTCTTAGTGCGTACCCCCAAAGATTGTACCTCAAGACTCAACCCTCATAGTGCCTACTTGAAGAGGTCATCCAAACATAAAATGACAATTAGGAAATATGCATGTGATCCAAATAAGGATATACCTTGTAACTCAAATTGAAAGACTTAGTATTCCAACCACCATACTTATCATATTCGATATAAATTCCCATACTTGTGATGACTCCATAGCTAGGTCAATGATGTCACATATTAACGCCATTTAGAGACCTCAAAGATTTAAGCCAGTTATTACAAAATCTCTTTAAAAATGAAGTCTAGTCATGGAAAAAGATAGATACAAAACTTCCATAAAAAGGATTTCCATCTAATGCACAAAATGCCTTCAAATGAGATGATTATATGACCAAAATCATCAAATAACGAATTAATATTTGAAGTAAAGCTAGAAATGTAACATAAGCATTTTGACATGTATCTAGTTTTACATAGAACTTTATACTCACGTGATAGGTTTTTAGAGAACACCTAGAAAACCAAGCAAAACCCTAAAATGAAGAGGAAATCTTGAAGTTTTGATCATAGACTTGAATCTCCTAGCTTAGAGGCTCTTAAATGATTACAAGGAACTAGTCTCTAAGCCTTGAATGTTTCCAATCTGAAATAAATGAGGAGAGGGAGAGGTAGATACGAGCTATGAATGAACCAAAGGCTGAAATCTCGTCTTTATGCAACTGCTACGATGTGCGACCTTGGAATGCGACCCTAGAGTCGCCCATGTCCAAGATCACTTACGGTACATAATTACGATATTGGTCATTGAGACGCAAGGGTCACATTATTCAAGGGTCGCAATAATCCAATTTCTCTAGCTACAGTACAAAGAAGTGGCCCTGGCATGCAATGTTAGGATTGCAGGTGCAAGGATCGCACCTTCCCATACTTTACCTGCAACGTTCCTAACAAATGTTTTCCTAGACACTAAATGCCAAGAATGATAAAGTAACACTTATATATCTCAAAATACTTAATAAAGGCCAAATTGTGGATAATAAAGCTTGAACTTATACATGCTCGAAATTTCATGTATTACATTCTCCTAGGGGACAACCATGTTACAGAACATACCATACTGGCTGAAAGGATTAAATGAACTACCTAATTACCATCCAACTTGAAGGACTACCATATGTAGGAAGGAATTACCTCATTTGATTTTGTTTGCTTTTTATTCTTTTTCAATTAATATGCACAGTAGATTTGCCTTCTGAACCGTACAGGTTTGATTGGGTTGGTAGGGTTGAAACTTTGGTTTTACAAAGACTCATGACTTTATGAAGCTCGATTTTGTGTTCTCTAATGCTCTTGTTTACAGTTGAGAGAACTACACACGTTGAAGGGGCATGTTGAATAGGCGGTTAGATTAATGGGTATCCGTATAGGAACGATTCAACAATCGTATACTGTCTGATAGATTTAGAGGTTGAGTATTTAGCTCGCGTTTCCCCTTTTTCCCATTGAATCCGATTTGCTACTTGTAAAACTGGGAAAATAGCAACATTTTACGCTTTAATATATAAGAAATTTATACAAACATGACACTAACTATTTAACAGAATGCCTCAAAGACCAACACAAAACATGGGTTTTAACCAAGGGAAATGATCTTGACGATCGATGTTTAAAGTTTCATATTACATTCGTTTATTTTTCTTGGTCATTTCGTTTTCATACATCATGTTTCCCTGGTTTCATCTCTCTCGATGGCATTTCAACTGGTTCATTCCCGGTCCCTTTGTATTTATACCATTTTGCGCACATTAGGAAGTAGATAAAGTTCATCGCCCCCAAACCTGCACAAAAGTAATAGTAATGATCTAACTTCGCCTCATTCAAGTCGTCAGCCAACCAATTTCTCCCGTTATCTTCCCTAGTTAATCTGTGAACCATCAATATCAAGAAACTACTCAAATATAAAGACATTGCGATCCCACAAGCCGTTATCGAACCCGCAAAACTTCTCATGTTTTCGGGAAACTCCTTGTAGAAAAACTCAGTGACACCAATAATCGTGAACCCTTCAGAAAGTCCACTAAACACCAACTGAAGTACCAGCCAATTAGCCGACATAGAAGAAACACTACCTCTTCTTGGCTCGAATCCCACTACTGATTTAGAATTTGCCATATTTCTTCTTTTCGCTTCGACGATTCCAGCCATGAGCATTGCTAGAATGTTGATTCCGAGTCCGGTTCCCATTCTTTGGAGAATTGTGATTCCGTCTCTTTTCTTTGTTAGTTTTCGAAGGAATGGAACCATAATTCTATCGTAGATCGGAATCCATATAGTGAGCGTAAGCATTTGGAATGAAGTGTAAGAAGCGGCTGGAATCTTGAACGTGTTAGACCTGAATCGGCGGTCAGATTGAAGGGCTTGATAGACCGTAAAGGTTTGCGTTTGGTTAAGTGAAACAGCATAGAATGTGGCTGCAATCAATATAGGAATCGTTTTTATTACACATTTCACTTCTTCTATTTGTTGCATGCTGCACAACGTCCATCTGTTTCCTGATGATCCATCGGGGTTAATGTTGTCCCCAGGGCAAAATATTGCTGCTTTGTTTAGAAACCTGTTACATGATATTAAAAAAAACCCATTATATATGGAAAAAGTGTTGTAAATCAATCTTGAGAACATAGTCGCATACTCTCTCTGTAATAAAATCGGCTTTATAGAACGTTAAATAAGTAGTCTAAATGTTCTAATAAAGTGTTTTATAGGACTTGAGTTTATAGACGACAACGATTATGTGCAGGGTGTTAATGAGCCGAATTGAGTCAAGTTGTAGGTTATTCGAGTTCGACTCGATATAATATTGCCAGTCTTGAGCTCGAATAAATTTTTTTACAATATATTTTTCTAATGTTCAAGCTCGAGCTTGATACTCGTTTACAAACTCGAAATCGAGATCAACTACCCCGTTTATTGGATCGACCTCAAAAACTAATATACGTTGATTATAAAATTTATGGATATATGAACGTGTTTGGCTCGAAAAGTGCATGCTCGACTGGATCGACTAGACTCAAAAAGTTTAATAGAGCTTTCAAACAAGCCGAGTCGAACATTGATGTTATGGAGCTCAAACTAGTTAAGTTAACGGGTTTTGGTTTATGCTCAAGATCAACTTGAGTTCAACAAGTTTTAAGCTCGAGCTTGGTTAGCTAGTTAAAAGCTGACTCGTTAACAACCCTAATGTATGTCATATGTAAAGAGGTTACAATAGGTTGAGAAGACGTTTTTAGCGTACTAACAAGTTTTTTAGGACAATTTTGGAACAGATCGTCTTATTAGTTTTCCTATATAGTATTATTAATGAAAAAAAGTCTTATAAAAACAAATATGTTATGAAAAGATATGTTTAAGAACATCTCCAACCCACTCTTTACCTACAAAACACCATTACCCCCAATTCCTCTCCAGAATTCACTATGCATCCTAGTTTACATTCTCTTACTTTCTACGTGAGTTTTTTTTTATTATTTGTTTATTTTTGGGCCGTTTACCTAACACTTACTCAATAAGTACTTACTGATAAAATGTAACATTATTATTTATTTACCGGGTAAGATTTTAGTCTACCAAAACGATATCGTATGCAAAATTTACCCGGTAAGCGCTTACCTTGGTTAGAGTCGTCGCCCTCACTTACCGGATAAGACTCTTGATCATTGTCATGTTCTTACCGGGTAAAAATCTTGGCCCTTACCATATTCATCCAGTGAGATAATGTTACTTGATAATTGTTTACCCAGATAAATGTTTGGTAAACGGCTCCTTAATAATTAGAAAAGCTATTAATAGTTTTTAAAAGTAAAAAAAATATTATTAAATTAATATACAACTATTAAAAGTAGGGGGCAAAATTAAAGTAACAATCTTAAAATAAACACTTCCTATCAGGGATGCTCACAAACCCGCCAACCTGATCAACCTAATACAATACGAAATAATTTAACCCGAAACAACCCGATGTCTAATCGAGTTGTACAATTTTCAAACAGTATGTATTGCGTTGATATTATGTTACTATTATTTGAACTCAATCCAATCCGATGAACCCGATATCTTTTTATTTCTTGGATTTAATATGATTGTTGAATTTTTATTAATATATATATATATATATATATATATATATTAGACAATGACACTATCACGTACGTTTTTTATATACACATATTTTCAATTTATTCACATCTCTATACACTACACCAAATGTTGTCTTAGACAACAAATGTAAATTGCCTATGTTGCTTAAGATACACTAAGACAACAAAGGCTATTATATGTTGCCTAAGTTTCCTCTAATGCAACATATGGTTCTATGTTGCCTAAGTGTGACCTTACGCAACATATATATAATTCAATGTTGCCTGCTTGTATCCTAGGCAACATATTAGCCTACGTTGCCTTAGTTCAATGTTGGACACTCATATTTTTTTTGAAATTCGTCAAAATTTACTTAGTCAACATACTTATACTATGTTGTATAAGGTAAAAAAACATAAATCCAACAAAGTTTACTTAGGCAACATATATTCCTATTTATATGTTGCATAAGGTAAGAATTATAAATTCAACCCAATATACTTAGGCAACATATATTCTTGTTTCTATGTTGCTTAGGGTAAACAAATTGATACTTCCAAGGTGACAACTTGCATTGTACAAAAGATTCATCATAATTTACTAAGGCAACATATACTATTGTTTCTATGTTGCCTAAGCTTAAAAACATAATAACTCCCGATAGTTGAAGATTTTAAGATTGACATAAGTTTTAAGATAGACAACCGACATTGTACGATAAATCCATCACATTTACTTAGGCAACGTAACCTTTTGTGTGGAACGTATTGGATGATACAATCGTTGATGATTATGCTGGATGCTAGTGATTCAAACTCTAACACAACAACCCCGACCTCTCACGCTTTAGGTTAAATTTTTAATTTTGTGTTATTGAACTTGTTGCCTACTTTTAAACTTATTTAGGAAAAAATTATCTTTCAATTATTGAACTTATTAATTTTGTTTGGTTATAAAAGTTGTTTGTATAAAACATTTGGTTGTTTGTTTGCTTGTTTGAGATTCATTTGTAGAAAGTGTGCAAAAAAAAAAATATTGCATCATGGTACACAAAAATCTTAGGCAACAATTAAACAATATAAATGTTGCCTAAAATAAATATTATATTATGTTAATTACAGTTCAAAGGCAACATATCTAAATAGAGTATGTTGTCTAAGTTGATATCTTAGGCAACATATTCAGATAGAGTATGTTGTCTAAGTTGATATCTAAGGCAACATATGAAGATAGAGTATGTTGTTTAAGATGATACTGGACGCAACATATGTTTTTTACTTAGGCAACATAACCTTTTGTGTGTTGCCTAAGAATCTCGCTTAGGCAACATATTCTGTTTACATATGTTGCCTTGGTTCTTATGCAACATTGAGAAGGCAACATTGCTTAGGCAACATGGGATTGTTGCCTAAACCTTACGCAACATATAAACTCCTCTTAGGCAACATTTTTCATTTGTTGCCTAAGTGACATTTTGAGGTAGTGATATAACTCATTTGTATATATGTTCAGTAACTATGAACATATATATGTAAATTGAGAAAATTAACTGAATGTGATATACATAAGAAGTATGGATAAGTTGTATCAAATGGTTGATGACGAAAAAGAAATTATGAGTAGAGAAATAACATATTCAAGGTTAGAAGAATATTTTAATATACCAAAGTATTAACCCGACCAACCCGTACGATTGGGGTTGGGTTAGGTTGCACTTTGGTTTGGATTAGATTAAAAATTTTCAAACCTCAAGCATTAGGTTGGGTTGTTCAAATATCTTCAACCCGATCAACCCAACCCATGAGCACCCCTACTTCCTACACTAATTTCTAAGCAAATAACTCTCTTACATTAATTTAAATGTAGAAGATATGATTGAAGATGTTTTTATAGGACACTTCTAAAAAACATCATATAAAAAACTAATTGAATACTTTATTTGATAAATCTCTTTAAACTTGTTAGGATTGCAAAATACGTCATAACATCTTCTTGTAACACCTTTACAAAGGGTGTACAATTGTTCAGTCATATAAACGTAAGTCTTATAAAAACAGTATATTAAGACATTTAGATATATTTGGGGTCTTAATGCCAGTTTATTGTATTCTGTTAAAATAAAGTCTTGAAAGGGTCATTTTTTCTATAGCATACCTGAGTTGTTCACTGTAAGGAAGCTTAGAGTTGATAGATTTCGAGGAAGTATGATTGAAGAGGGTTCGTTCAGGATCCTTAGGTAACGTGAGTTTCCTTTTCCTGATGGTAGCCACGAGAACCTGGAGAATACTGGTTAACGGGCTGCCTTCGGGCATCACTTTGACGTAGATCTTGGTACCCAGAAAGAAAAAGGCACACGAAAAAAACATGAGGAGAGTGGGGATGGCTAAACCGATAGCCCAGTTGACGTTCGATTGCACGTAGACGATGAGAGTCAACGAGACCATCATAGCAAAGGTTAAGGTGAAGTAGTACCAATTGAAGAAGCTGGCTATTCCGGCTTGGCCGGATTCAGTATTCGGGTTGAATTGGTCAGCACCGAAAGCCAAATTGCATGGGCGGATGCCACTGGCTCCGATGACCAAGAGACCAAAAGCTGTATACAGAAAGGCTAGTTGGGGTGGTGTGGGGTCCATGCAAGGGGTGGATAGACAATGAGAAGGGTGAAGCTTTCTGATTGCTGCTGTTAGTGTCAACATAAGCATCCCCTGCAATCAACAAAATAGATCTTTACAAAAAGACATCCGGTTAAGTGGCAAAATGTTTTTACTTAACCCTCAATTTTTTAAGTTAAAGGGGTGTTTGAGATTGTTTATCAACTTATTATAAGTTAAAATGGTTCAACTTTTTTCAAAAACTTCTTATTACCGGTTTGACACCGGTATAAGTTGTTTATCCGAACACTCAAAACTATTTATTACCGGTTTCACACCGGAATAAGTCAATAAATTATTTTTATAAACAATCTCAAACACTCCCTAAATACATCAAAATTATGTTTAATTGTTATTTAATATAATTCATTCTCGCAATTGATATATCTGAATATCCTTTTCTTTATGAGTAATTTGCTTATTATTTAACATTACTGTTCATAATTTTTTTTTGAAAAATGTTATGAAAAATTGAAACTTTATCACATTGATTAAATAAATATTATTACACTTGTACCAAAAAGGAAATAATCCAACTTCCTTATATTGTAATTTTAATAAAAATTATCCCATATTTTTTACGAACTAATAAATGACAATCAATTCACTTATATTTATTTACACTGCTTCTTATTATTATTTTTTCTTTCTTGATTACGAGTGCGTTTGGTTAGCAGATTCTAAAGAAATCTGATAAAATTAGAATGTTGAATTCCTTAATAACTATATGGTATTTTGCTGGAATGGAATTCTCTATTTTTATGATATCAAATATGTCTTTAACCCAATATACTCTAATCTTATAAAACCCAATATAACCATCGTCGACCACCGTCGATTTGAATCACCGGAGACCGCCGCCATCTGGAGCACCGCCACCTGAACCACTGCCGGCCACCGCCGATCACTGCCATCTGAACCACCGTCGAACACCACCGCTGACTACCACCTAATTGAACCACCGCCAACCACTGTCGACCACCACAATCTGAATCACAGCCAATCTGATCCACCATCGATCTGAATCATCGCCAATCATCGTCATCTGAACCACCATTGACCACCACCGATCGGAACCACTGTCGATCATCCCCATCGATCTGAACCACCACGAACTACTACCTATCTAAACCACCGCCAACTACTACCGATCTGAATCATTGTCCGCCACCGCCAATCTGAACCACCGTTAACCATCACTGATCTAAATAACCACCAATCTGATCCATCGCCCATCTGAACCACCCCCGATCGAAACCACTGCCTATTTGAACCACATCCAACAATCGCCACCTGAAGCACCATATTTGGATGCTCAAGTAGAATTTGGAGCATTCCAAAAACTTGGAGGTCCATACACTGATAAGGGATGTATGGATTCTTGGCACCGACGATCTGAATCACTGTCGACTACCGCGCGACTACCACCGATTTGAATCACCGCCAGACACCACCGATCTAAATCACCGCCAGACACCACCGACCACCAATGTTGGACAACCATCGATTTGAACCACCAAAGGTAATGTGGATCTGAACCACCCGCTGACCACCTCCATCTAAACCACCGCAGACCACCATCGATCTGAACCACTGCCATCTGAACCATTGCGGACCACCACCGCCGACCATCGTTGATTTATTAACGTCGTTTGGCTTATGGTTATATTTGGATTGTGTATTTTATATTGTTTCACATGTTAAATAATTATTTTATTAAAGTATTTTTAATTTTAAAAAAATTAAAAAATTTAAAAAGAACATTTTGGTCATTTATCAATATTTCATTCCAATTTCAAAGTTACATTCTATGAACCAAGCAGACAGATTTCAATTCCTTAACATGTTCCATTCCATTGTCTACCAACCAAACAGGTGGTCAAAGCTGACAACATTTCATTCAAATTACTTCAAAGTCAAATTCTCTTAACAAATTACCTTCCTTCCAAAAACATTTTATGAACCAAACGCTACCTTAAAGCATCCATAATGGAGGCTCTTATTGAGATTTCTATTAGGGTTTTTATAAGAACCTCTACTGTAGAACATAGGTTCTTATCTAGTCTCAAGTTATTATTAAAACTTAGGTGCGTAAACAAGAAACTAGGTTCTTGTATACATTCAATTTTTGTTAATTTTAGTTATTATTTTTATTTTTTTTAATTATTTTTATTTTCTTTCATAGGTCTATAAAACATACAAGTAAAAAATGAACAAAAATGTA